TTGAATTTGAATTTATTAAATTCAGTATATAAATTATTACAAAAATAACAATTTTTATACTAGGCAGAGTGACAATAGGACACGAAGTCCCTTACAAGGTTAACTGCCTCACTCATTACAATTACACTAAAATCAAAGTCAGTCAACAAGTACATAAATTCATGGTGTTGACACTACGACATTTTGGACAAATAATTTTGTACGACCTGATGTTGTCCCCATCAAAAACTGATCGTAACCTTTCAACATAGAATTCTTTCAACTTCACTCTAAACTCAGTTAAGGAACTACTAGCCTTAATATTGTTAGGTAAAGCATTCCAAATATTTACAATACGTATAAAATAAGAATCTCTAAAACTGGAGGTTTTTGGAAGTTTTGTCGTAAATACAGACCTGAAGACGAGCGCCTTGTAACTCCAGCACAAAACGTTAAGTAATTAGATAAATCTATAGTATATATGCCCACTTTACACTTAAAGAAGAATATTAGATCTAAGTATTCCAGCCAGTAGCTAACAGGTAATAGCTTTAACTGGACAAGTCGATCACGATAGTTTGCTTCCGTATATCCACATATAAATTTAGTTGATCTACGTTGAACGGACTCCAGCAGAAAGATATTACGTATAACGGACTGGGGGGCCCACAATTGGCTACAATAACCGAAACGAGATCTAACAATTGCTATATAAAGGGACTTAAGGGCATTACGAGACATGTCGTTTGAACAGTTTCTTTTTAAAAATCCAAGCATTCGGTTTGCTCTAGCTGTAATTTGATCAATGTGAGAATTCCTGGATAAGTCACAAGATATTGACACCCCGAGGTCGACTTGACTTGATGCACACTTCAATTTTTCGTTCCAATTGATATAATAAAAACGGTCAAATCCTTGGCGTTTCCTCGTAACTTTCAGAAATTCACTTTTTTCGGTTGGAAATCCAATTCGTTTTCGCGAGACCAGCAACATATTTTATTCAAATCAGATTGAAGATCAAAACAGTCTTGAACAGATGTAATAGATTTAAAACACTTTGAATCGTCTGCAAACATGGCAAAATCTGAGTTTTCAGCCACCTCAGGCAAGTCATTCACATAAAGAAGAAACAACATGGGCCCGAAGACCGATCCCTGAGGGACACCAGACCTAACATCAGCCCAGGAACAATAGGAACCATTTACCACTACACGTTGTTGCCGTCCAATAAGGTAGTTTCCAAACCAGTGCAACAGAGATCCATCAATACCTGTATTTTGTAACTTCCAGAGGAGCTTAGCATAACAGACAGAGTCGAAAGCTTTCGAGAAATCTAGATATACAATGTCCACTTCAGAACCTTTCTCGAGTGATTTTGCTATCTTATGCAAAACTTCAAGTAATTGGCTAGCACATGATGACCCTGGTTGAAAGCCATACTGCATGGAGTGGATTCTTTTTTATCACAAAGGGAAGGAAAACACGAACAACACACTTTTCTTGAATTTTCGAAACAATAGATAGAAGTGATATAGGTCTAAAATTAGTCACGTCCACATGAGGGCCTTTTTTGTCAACTGGAGGAACATTTGCTCGTTTCCAATCTGATATAATAAGGCCTGTTTTTAGTGAAGTATTTATGAAAACCGTCAACGAGGGACTCAATGATTCTGCACAGTTTTTTAGAATTGCTGTAGACAAGTTATCAGGTCCAGTGGCTTTAGAAGTATCTAATGAATTTAGGATAAGCAAAACCTCTACGTTTGATGTTTGAATTAGTTCTAGCTTGCTAGGGTCACCAGAGATTGCAGGATCAGTGAACGGGAATAAACAATTTGAATGTTCTTTATAAATTGATTTGAAATAGTCATTAAATGCCTCAGCTCGAACACTGTCATCCGTCAACGAAACGCCCTTATAGTTTATTTTGTCTGGAATAGGTTTCTTTTTATTCTTAAATGAATAAAAAGACCAAAAGCGTTTTGGATTAGTGGTAGCTTGATTTGCAATATCAATTAAATAAGCCCTTCTTTCACGACGAATCCAGTTTTTTATCGACTGTCTCATTTTCCTAAACTTTTCTTTAAGGCTTTTACTTGTAGAATTTCTTACACGTTTCCACAAAGTCTTTTTCTTCTCAATTTCATTTGCGAGATCTTTCTTTATCCAGGGTGGTCGATTTTTACCTTTTGATAAAAATTTTGAAATGTGCGAGTCAACAGCAGTTAAGACTAAAGAACACCATAATCTCCATGCATTGTCTAGTATGGCTTGAGAATTTATTGATTCAACCCCAGCGCTGAGTGGTAACAAAGACAACACGTTATTTAAAGATGTGGAATCTGCATTTTTAAGATCGTAGCAGAGTCTTTTGGGGGAATCTTTTAATTTTAGCGAAGCATTAACTTCGAAAACCACGGGAAAATGGTCAGAAGGCAATCCAGCTTCAACAAAAACCAGGCCAGTATCGATGAAAGTTACAAAGGAGGGTAGATTAGTGATATATGTCGAGATATGTGATATATGTCGAGTATGTGAAATTTCG